AATCAGGCTCCTCCTATTAAAGCATCGAATCTTCGACTATTCGGGGTCACTGCTCTTATAATAGCCCAGAGCCTTTCCTGAATCTTAGCCAGAATCCTATGGCTCTGTTTTCCCCTACAATCTCCACAGACAATCTCTACAGCCTTTAACCTCACAAATTATTCACAAGCATGCACTCTTCCATTCAGAGGCCTCAAATAAAGACATAGGGTTTACATTAGCCCACCACTTAGAGACACCAAAAAGAAGCTATTAAAAATTCCAGAGTGCTGACTTCCTGAAAATGACAGTATAGAACAAAAATAACGGACCTTGCAACCTGTCATAAAGCAAGGCCAGACACAACGGGTAAGTGAAAGACAGGATGGTTTATTGATACAAGAGGTGGATGATATATGATATATATATATATATATATATATATACTGTACATACATGCATACATGCACACACACACAAAAGATATTGTAAATAAAATATATTTATAATTATATAAAAATAAAATATATTTTTAAATTAAGTATTACTATTTCACCCAAAATAATTGTTTTGTTTTTATTTTTAAGAGTATTACAGATTATTGTGTCTATATCTATTTCTTCTGAGGAATCTTAGCAGAAACATCTGAGGCAGTGTTGATACTTAAGTGAAACAGCTCCATTAGCCTTTCTGAGCAGCATGTGAGCATTAAATCATCCTCTGGCTATAAACATTGGCGTTTCTGATGTGAATGTAGGTCCCGTCGTGCTTATCCCCATCTTGGGTCTGGCTGTCCTGATTATGAGCGAGACGCAGCGGGCGGCTGGATTTGGGTTCGCCGGGCTCCACCTGTCTGATGGCTCTATCCATCTGGCTCCGGCGCTTTGGCTGCATTCAGAGCTTTCACTTCCTGTGCTGCCAATGCGCCGCGGCTCCCGTCCCAAGCAGGTGTCGCTCTTGCCTGGCTCTCTCAGTGCGGCCCACCTCGGCGCCCCACCGTTTGGCTGTTTTATCGTGATTTACAAGGGACAGGTAGCGTTTATGATGCCGTCTGATCTGATTTAGGCTGAGCTGCTGAGGTATACAGATCCACATCTGCAGCGTGAGATGCAGCACTACGGGTGACCAGCCAATGCAGCTCCTTAAGAGGGATTTGATGGGATTTTCAGGCTAATTTGTGTCAGTATTTATGGTCGGCTGTAGGTAAAATGGACTCTGTTGTGATGGACTCAGAATATTAATGCATTCACAGTAGCTGCCTGTTTCTCTGTGCAAAACTTAAGGGATAGTTTGCCAAGGTATTGAAATTCTGTTATCATTTACTTGTTTTAAATCTGTGTGAGTTCTCTGGAGCACAAAAGTATGGCTGTATGATTTCTGCAATGTGGAAAACACGGACGGAATCACGGAATTCAGTCATTAAAATTGTATTTACTGTATAAAGTGGAATGTCATGGAATTTGTCAGATTTTGTCAGTACACATCATATGGCAAAATGGACTAGTGTCTGCGAATATTAAACTGCAATATAATATAAAAACTGACTTATAATATGAATCCTGCATGTGTCTCTGTGTGAATTAATGGCGCAGATGTGCGGTTTCCTTTACTACACACATACTGTATTGTGCTTCATCGTTTCAGTATCTCACTAAATAAGGACATAAATACATGAACAACATCTCCAAAACTGCTCTTATTGAGCATTTGACTGTTTCATTTGAGAAAAACTATCGTCATATCATATATACACACACAAACAAAACTCTCTACGCCAACACGTCAAAATGAAAGTTTGGTTTAACTTGAAGAAATTGTGAAAGAAATACTATTATTTATATATTACTCTTATACAGTATAATGTATAACGCCATATAATAATAATAACACTAATAATAATAATTAATAATAATAATAAAATTATTATTAAAACATGGCTATTTTTTTTTATGAATTATCATTTAATTTTTCATCCATGTTTTAATTTTAACAGTAGACATTTCTTGTGCAGAGCTTCATTGGATGAAAAGGTAAGTTAAATTAATAATTTATGGCCTCATTTGATTACCAGAAAAATTTGAATATACAAAAAATATATAAATAAATAAAGCATTTCAAATGGCACTATTAATTAGGGATGGGCACTTTTGGCAATTTCTCATTTTGATCATCGATAGGTTTCAAAAACGAGTACTCGAATACTAGGGGCGGGGCTTGTGCAGGGGGCGGGGCATGGTCGTAATGGAGATAATGAAAATATCTCAAGACTGTCATGAAAATGAATGTTAAAATTAAAAATATGACATGAAAACATGTCTATGAAAACATGAACACATGATTAGAACAGTGTTAGATTATGATTATGATGCAGCAATGTTATTAAAAAGGAGCATCTAAAAAGGAATAGCTGCCTGAAGTGAAGCTGAAGAGTGACTTTATGCCAATAAACTGAAGCCCGTTCTATGACACATTCTATGATATTAATCAGATAACTTAGATACATAACATAGACGTAACATTACAACTTGTATCTTAACAAAAGGATGCAAATTCCAGTGAACTTTACGCGTTATAGTGAGAGAGAGAGAGAGCGAGAGTGAGTGAGAGAGAGAGAGCTCCCACCGTGATGCGCTTTCATGACAGCGCGCTGAAACACGAACAAGTAAAGAAGACAGAATTTGCTGTAGTTTTCTATAAAGTTCTCATTGTAATGCTGTGTTTATGGCAGATTTGTGCTATATTTTCATCTACATTATTAAGTGATTTCTGAAATCGCCTGCACGTTTTGGAAGCCATATGAAGTACGAAAACAATTTGAATTGAAGTATGCCTACTATTGAACAAATATGACAAAAAAAGCACTGCTGTATAAAAAAAAAAAGAAATATGACAGTCTCAAATAGCACAGATAGTCAATATCGGGCATTGCATTTGAGCATGAAACTAAACACTGGTAATATGCAGCGCATTCAGCATGTTAATAAACGTTAATATCCCAACGCATCCAATATTAGATTAATCGGATATGTATGTAGCTAACCCAGACATCACTATGTGACTCCGAAGCCATGCTTCTCTCTTCTCACGTCTGTACTTTGGACCGCATGCTGTTGCAAGCTAAACAATCAGAGCTCAGGGTGCCACCCAAACTGCTGCTATAACCAATCAGAAAAAAAAACATTTCCATGATCATCGTTTTCATGATCGATCGTCGCTGTCACGGCCGAGTACTTGAGTACTCGATCGCTGTTGCACATCCCTACTATTAATGTAAATACATAAATAAATAGTTGTTTTCATGAATTCAGTTAATTAAAAATGTTGGTAATGGAAAAAAAATGGAACCTAAATGAACAAAAACAGAAAAAATGGAATGTTGAAGAGGGAAAAGGGGGGAGGGGGATTTGGGAAAAATAAAACATTTCATGGGGCCCTAGAAAAGGAGATATTTTGAAGACTATTATATTGTTCATGACATGTTGACTTTTCTATCCATCTTTTTCCTATACTACATTTTAAATTATGGGAGGCTCTTCCAGTTTGAGTAAGTTCCACTTAAAAAGACTGAAACAAATCATTTCAAATCAAAATCATAATCATTACAAATCATCCTTATCGTGAGCTTGACTGAATGAGCTGTAAATTTCCCTTCATGTTTTATAATCAGACATCAGGAGAATAACGTAACACTTGGTAGTGTAATGTGACATGAGCTCTTTTCAGCCGCTGCATCTTTTGCTTAGGATTATTTTCAGTATGAAAAGACAACATATACTGCATATTTGTGGTCTTAATTTACAATAGATCTCATGAATAATTCACTGAATGCACTGAGAATCTCTGGTTTTTCTCCTTAAATCCTCACTTCTCTTTGCAGGTTTGTTTTCACAAAGATGCTTTAAAATGTATTTGCCTCCTCTTTTTTCGTCTTTACTGTAAGGTTTCTAAAGCGAGTAAATACAGTATTTATTTATAATGTCACCTCATAGTACCAAGTTTTGAAAATGCTTGTTATTGCAGTCAAAGAGCAAATCTTTGGCTGATTGTTTACAGTTTAACAGAAGTTACTTCCATTATTTATGTGAAGCATCAAGGTGGATACAGTGAAAATTTGTGAAGACAGATGCTGTTAAACTCCAATCACCAAAAACCTCCATAAAAACACCAAAGTAGTAATCTGAAGAGCCTGTTATGGTGATTTTATAGTGCTCTTTGTCCTTTTCTGAGATTGTATGCAAATGAAAATGTTGCTAAACATATTCATTTGTCTTCCATGGAAGTAAGAAATTTCTTTAGGAAACGAAACTTTCGTTTTTGAGTAAGTTGTAAAACCGTAGTGCATAGCGTTAGATGTGATGTTGAAAGGTACAAAGAGAATTTCACTAATGAAAAGATCAGAATGAAGTCTGATGAAGTGGTTGTTAGACTACAATCAGGTTTTTAAAAGGATTTTACCGTGGAACAGCTTTATCCTCATTAAGATGTGTTGATAAGTGAGTGTAATTTCACACCAGCTTGAAGGAAAAACGTTGAAAAATAGCCTCTTCCAAAATCTAGTGAGCTGCCTACCTAGACAGCATGTTAAGGCATCATGTATACAGACTTAATGACATAACTTTCATGCTTTCTTTACAACATTTAAGGCAACATCCAATCCTAGAATGCATTGTGACAAACCCTTTTAAAATAAGCACATTTAATGGTGGATATGAATTAATTTTTTTTTTTTATATGTATACTATATTCAAAATATTCGCCCAATATTTTTTGTGTGATGCTAACATCAAACTTTATTGAAATTAGTTTGTGCACTTCACAATAACTGGCTATGTAGTGCGTTGCATATCAGCCACTTACAGGGGTTCAATTTCAGTTTGGATGCTCCCTATCAAGGCAGCTGTTGTTTTTTCCTAACAAATGCCTCAGCAGTGGATCAGTTATGAATAGCACGTGAAGCAATCCATGCAGCACGGCCCATAATGCAGAGTAAGAAGCCTTCGTTTGTGTGCTGTGTCCCACAGGTGCCGGAGGCTGGTCCCCGCTGGACTCTAATAAGTACCAGTGGCTGGAAATCAAGCTGGAGCAGCGGACGGAGATTACAGCCATCGCCACCCAGGGCCGATACGGCAGCTCTGATTGGCTCACACGCTACCTCCTCATGTTCAGTGACACGGGCAATAATTGGAGGCCGTACCGACAGGAGGATAGCATCGGGGTAAGGCTTGAATTCCTCACCTGAAAACATGCTCTGACGAGATAAAACGCTACGCAGAGATTTAGTTTAGTAAGTGCTGCTTGTCTGTGCAGAAGTCGTCGTCACACTGAGCGACTCGTACGTTGTTTACTGGCTCAAAACGGCCCGCTATGCATCTCTGTGATCTTCTGGTCTGTAGACATGACTCTCCAAATTAGCCAAATTAATGTGTAGCTGGTTTTGGTGATTGTTCAGATGTGTCTTGGCCTGACCAGCTAATGGGTAGATTATATATTTTTCCTGTTTTATAATAAAAATACTTAATAATTTACTCAATATAATACTTTTATATTATATTATATTATATTATATTATATTATATTTATCATTTTAAAAATATAAATGTAATTCTCCTCCTTCAATGTGCAATCTTAAAATAAATATGACTTATTTAAAACAGATTTAAGCTTCATCAACCTCTCTATGATATTTTGTAATTTCATTTTTAATATAATTATTTTTTATAAATTGTATATTTAGTAATAAATTGTATATTAATTTTTTTACATGTATTCATTCTTTTATTTATTTATATTTAATATACATTTACTAAATAATTAATAAACAATTATCCTTCAGTGTGCAGTATTAAATTATTTATTTGATTTATTTATACATTTAATATAAATTTAAAATTATAAATATGATTTTCTTCATTCAATGTGAATG